CCCATCCACCTGTTCACTCCCATCCACCCATCTACCCTCCATTAACCAACCCACCCATCCACCCATCCTCCCACAATCCACCCACCCATCCACCCACCACCCATTCATCTACCCATCCACTGTCCCCCCACCCACCACTCATGCATCATTCCATCCACTCTCCATCTACCCACCATCAATCCATCCAACTATCCATCCACCCATCTACCCTCCCACCTACCCACCCATTTATTCATCTGATCATCCATCACCCATCCTACCGTTACCGAATTCATTCCCTACACCTTTGGTGTGCATCTCCTCTGTACTGAACTTAGGAAGGTGAAGAAAATACAGCCTCTCTTCAGATGTGACCAGAAAACCACAATTCAGTTTGAGAAGTGTTCTAACAGCAGGGGCCCAGGAGGCCGAAGCTGCCTGAGTAACGTTGATTGCCCCACCACAGGGATGGGACAGGTGAACCAGGCCCTGAAGAGGGGGCTCCGCAGGAGGAAAGGAGGTACAAATATCCAGGGCAAAAAGACAGGTGAAGGCAAAGACTTCAAGATATGAAAAGCCTGGGGGCGCCTAGGTGGATCAGTGTCTGCCTTGGGCTCAGGTCATGATCCCGGGGTCCTGGGATCGAGTCCCTCATCTGGCTCTCTGCTCAAGCGGGGGGAGTCTGCTTCTCCCTCTCCCTCTGCCCCTTCCCCACTGCTCGTGTTCTCTCTCTCCCTCTCTCTCTCAAATAAATAAAATCTTTAAAAACAAAAGATATGAAAAGCCTGGCCCTTTGGGACAATGGTGAGAGCTATGTGCCTCTCAGAGATGTGTCAGGAGATGAAGTGGGGAGAAGGGCAGTGGGCAGAATCCCGGCGTGCCCCTACTTCATCTTGGAAGCAAAAGGGAGCTGCGCAAGGAAGCTGGGCTGACATGTGCCACAGCTCCATAGCCAGGGGTGCCAGGGGTGTGCCCTGGATGTGTACCCCAGAGAAGGGGACCCTCAGCCTCCCTGGGGGTTCTAGGGCAAAGTTGCAGGCCTCAGCATGGGGCATGCACAGGCCTGGGGCAGGTGGGTGCCAGCTGCCGTGCCTCTCCTCTGGTGCCCACATGCCAGCCTCAGGCCTGACCCCTAACTGGCCCACTGGGAGGGCAGTTCTTTCATCCCCTGCAGGTCCAAACCCAAGCCCACTGTCCTTCCTCTTCTGTTGTCCGAGGCCAGTTCTCTGCTTGCTGTGGCTTTATTCACTTTCCACACCTGGAAAATCTATTTCTCCTTCAACACCCAACTCAGAGGTGCCCTCTGGGATTTCTTCCTAGCTTCCCACTACCTGAGGGGGGCCTCCCCTTTCCAGGGCACCCCCTTCCCAGCAGCCCTGGGGGTGTGCAGTAGAAGCTGGTGTGCATGGAGGGCTAACACTCACCCTGGGGAGGATGGAGCTGGTGGCAGGAGGGGGTGCGCTGGGTTCAGGCTAAGGAGGGACTTTGCAGTGGTCACAGCAGCCAGGCGAGGGGTTGCCTTCTGAGAGTGGTGGTGCTGTCCAGCAGGAGGGCCTCCATTTCCCTGTCTGTGCAATGGGACTAGGTGCTCAGTGAGGACCTTCTGCCTCTGACCTACAGTGGTGTGGTGCCTAGAAAGTTTTGGCCAGCAGGAGGCATGGAAGGGAGGGGTGGGCCAGGCCCTGGCTAGTGGCTGCCTTGTCCATAGGATGCCGAGAAATGAGATCTTGGTGTACAGAGCGTGCCGTCCTGGTACTGTTTCCTAGGGCACGTCAGGGTCAGGGCAAGTATATATATATATATATGTCTCGTATATAAAGTATAAAGGCAAGTACGGTGGGAGGCCCCTGGGATCCATGTCCCACAATTAGCTGCCAGGGCAGGACACTGAGCATCAGAGAACTGGGCTGGAGAGGATAGGGGAGGGATCTGTGGGACCGGAGAGGGCTGCGGGCTGGGGCCAATAGTGGGCTGTGCCCCCCAGGAGGACAGGGACACAGGGGGAGGGACAGGACACAGCCCTGGGCCTCCAGCCACGCAATCCTCTCTTCCTGTTGTCTCAGGATGGTCCTGGCAGGATGCATCTGCCAGAGTTCCAGGTCCAGGCCTCCCCCAAGGCCTGCTCCCAGCCCCACCGGGATCTCACACACATGCACACACACATGCGTGCACACACACACAAGCGCACACGCCCATGGGCACGCACACACTGACCTGTCAAAGACACATGCATACACATCCACACACAAAGCCACACACACCACTTACACACCAGCCCCACAAACATGCAGGTCCACGCCCACAAACACACACACACACACACACACACACAAGGACCCACACCTATCAACATGCACACATGCAGGCACAAGCTATCTGCTGGAAGGAGGACAGTGGGCTAGAAGCTGCAAGGGTGGCAGGAGGGTTTTCAAGCAAGCAAAGCAGGGTTATTTGTGTGTCTGGGGTCAAGCCCTGTAGGAAGAATGAAGGAACAAGGCCCCGGGGACTGGAGGGGAGCTAGGGCAGCCAGAGGGGGCTGAGAGTGGACAGAAGCCGATGGAGGTAAACGCCACGGGACCCGGGAGAGGGTGAGCTCATGGACAAAATTTAGTGGGAAAGCCGGGGCCCTTGGTTCTGGGCATTTGGGGAGGGCCGCGCCACATGAGACGCACCCCCTACAAGCAGCCGCAGTGCATCTACAGTGCAGGAGGGAAGGGCCTTCCGACAGACATGTGAGGCTCACACACTCCAGGTCTCCCCCAGTGTAGGATGAGGCCTGCAGTCTCCCCCGTCAGCTTCATGCTGGCAGCTGAGCCTATGTGGGCCCAAAGATTGGGGTTCGGTTAGGTCAGGGTTCACTGGGGGCTGGGACCAGTCTGCTGCCAGGGACCAGGGCCAGGGGCACCTGAGGTAGAGATTACTGATTGTCTTGGGGCCTTGCAGGTATGGCCCAGGGCCAAGAGCTGGGGCAGCCCCTGCCCTAGGGAGGAGTGTGGTCTTATGGGCAGGGAAGGTCCATCAGGACCAGATTGACGTCACCATGTCACCATGTGAACTCACGACCCAGCGCCATACTAACCCTGTCTTCCACCCCAGGCCTGGTGAGTGGCTACTCCATGACCCCCCCAACCCTAAACATCACGGAGGAGACACACGTCATTGACTCCAGGGACAGCTTGTCCATCTCCTGCAGGTACTCAGTCCTCAGCCCCGGGGCACAGGGGCCGGGGTCCCCCCAGGCCAAGGGGACCGGAGAAAGCCAAGGCAGGAGATGGTAGAGGAGAATGCATGGAGAGTCCCTACCAACCAGGAGATGGTAGAGGTAGAGGGCAGAGGGGCCTCAAGGGTTAGGGGGGCTCCCTGGTCACCTGGGTGTGGGTGCCTGGAGGCGCGGATCATCCCTGGCCCTGCAGACACCTTGTGCCCACCCCTACCCCTGGGTCACTCCACGCTGGCTCCAGACCAGTCCGTGCCCACCTCCCAGGTTACCCTGCATGGACCCCAGGTCCCCTACACCCACCCCCCAGCCACCTTCCACTGGCTCTAGGCGCACCCACACAGTGCTCAGACCCATTATGGTCCCTGCAGCCCCGGGGATGATCAGCAGGCTTCTCTGCAGGCCAGCCTACCCCATGTAGGCCTAGGAGCTAGGCAAAGGCGCCGAGGGGCCTCAGGGGGCACCCTGCCCCGGCTGGGTCCATGGCGTGTGCCCCCCAACCGGGCTGTTCTGACCTCTGGGTAAGACAAGCTGCAGGCAAGGCTTGTGCGCCGGGGCTGCAGCTGGGGCCCCTCTTGTGCTCTCGTGTCCTCTGCCAGGGGGCAGCACCCCCTCGAGTGGTCCTGGCCAGGGGCTCAGGAGGCGCCAGCCGCAGGGGAGAAGGCCGGCGAGGACACGGGGGTTGTGCAAGACTGCGAGGGCACGGACACCAGGCCCTACTGCAAGGTGCTGCTGGTGCACGAGGCCCGCGCCAACGACACGGGCAGCTACCGCTGTTACTACAAGTACATCAAAGCCCGCATAGAGGGCACCACGGCCGCCAGCACCTATGTTTTCGTGAGAGGTGAGGAGGCCAGGCCGGCCTGCGCCGCAGCTGCCCAGGAGGCACGGGCAGGGGCCTGGATCCTGGAGGGGCACCTGGCACCTGCACCCCCGGGCCCCAGCCTGCGGGCCCTGGGCTGGGGGGGGCGGGGGGGGCGGGGGGGGCTGCCCCACTGCCCCTCACCTGGGTCAAAGCCCCGCCTTCCCCTCCCACAACCTGCCGCCTCCCCTCAGACGTGGAGCAGCCATTCATCAACAAGCCAGACACGCTCCTGGTCAACAGGAAGGATTCTATGTGGGTGCCCTGCCTGGTGTCCATCCCGGGCCTCAACGTCACGCTGCGATCGGTACGGGCCTCCTCCTCCCCGACCCCCACCCTGGGATCCAGCCCCCTCCCGTCCCGTCCCAGGGAGAGGCAGCCACTGGTCTGGCCAGGAGAGAGGGCAGTGATGACCACCATGTCCCCACAGCAAAACTCAGCCCTGCGGCCTGACGGGCAGGAGGTGGTGTGGGACGACCGCCGGGGCATGCGCGTGCCCACGCCCCTGCTGCGCGAGGCCCTGTACCTGCAGTGCGAGACCACCTGGGGTGGCCAGGACTTCCTATCCAACCCCTTCCTCGTGCACATCACAGGTACGCGCTGTCTGGTGCAGGAGGAGGATGGGGCATCCCCCAAATCCCAGGGATGGGGCCACAGGGGCCACAGCTGTGTGCCCTGTGCTGTGTGTGTGCCATCCTGTGAGGGGCGTGGGGGTCACTGTGCATGTGTCACCAGGCAACGAGCTCTATGACATCCAGCTGTTCCCCAAGAAGTCGCTGGAGCTGCTGGTCGGGGAGAAGCTGGTCCTGAACTGCACCGTGTGGGCCGAGTTCAACTCGGGTGTCACCTTCGACTGGGACTATCCAGGGAAGCAGGTGAAGCCGACAGCCCCAGCAGGGCCATACTGGAACCATCCCCCGGAGTCCCCGTCACTGCCTCCACCTGCCCTATACCCACACAGTCCCCAGGAGTCCCCATCACTGCCCACGCCCACCCGGCCTGGTGCACACTGGCCTCTGAATAGGTGTGGACCCAGTCCTGCCCCAGGAGCCCCTGTCTGATGAAAGGGGCTGCCCCAAGGAAAAGTCTGGGTCTGGGTGCAAGGCTTCCAGAGCCACGGCTGGGCTGGGGTATGTGCCCTTGGTGCTCAGTTCTACCAGAGCCCACCTGCTCTGACCCTGGGCTTCCCCTGGGTGTGGGTAGGCAGAGCGGGGTAAGTGGGTGCCAGAGCGGCGCTCCCAGCAGACTCACACAGAGCTCTCCAGCATCCTGACCATCCACAACGTCAGCCAGCACGACCTGGGCCCATATGTGTGCGAGGCCAACAACGGCATCCAGCGGTTCCGGGAGAGCACTGAGGTCATTGTGCATGGTATGGCCTGGGGCTGGGCCGGTGTCAGTCATCAGGCCCGGGGAACAAGGGTCCGTGTGCAGTGTGGGCAGGGGTCAGAGATTAGGGTGCACCTGAGCAGTGTGGAGTCTAGCCAGAGGGAAGAGAGGGCAATGAGTGGACCCCCGGAGGGCAGGGCGAGCCCCAGTCTGCAGGCGTCTGGCCGCTGGGGGTGCTGGACCATGGCTGGGAGTCCCTGGGCAGCGGTGGGTCAGTGACTCCAGGCCCTGGCTTTACACGGATGCCTCCCATCTGGCAGAAAAGCCCTTCATCAGCGTCGAGTGGCTCAAGGGTCCTGTTCTGGAGGCCACAGCAGGAGACGAGCTGGTGAAGCTGCCTGTGAAGCTAGCGGCGTACCCCCCACCAGAGTTCCAATGGTACCAGCCCTGGCCCCTGCCCTCCGCTACCCCCCAGGCCCAGCCCGAGAACAGACCCCAGGGCGGGACCTCTCCTCTGAAGACACTCTAAGGAACGTGCACCTAATACAATATTTAAGCCAGAGGGAAAGTTATCTTGCTACCAAACTGCACAGGCTTGCAACTGCCAGCCTGCTGTCCGTGTGTGGGGGCGCTGGGCGCCATGCTGGGCGCCGTGCTGGGCGCCTTGCTGGGCTTTATCTAACCGATCCCTGCACCTACTCATTATCTCCAAGGGCCCCATGAGCCGGACAAGGTCCTGGAGCTCTGGCCTGCCCTGCAGCAATGGCTTTGGGTTTCTCAGGCCTCCCTCTGAACAGGTTGCCACCCCCACCCCAGGACCTCTTATCCAGAAATTCAGAGATGCCACAGGGGTTCCACAGACTGTTGTAGCGCCAGGCTCTGGGGCAGGCCTGAGCTGTGTGGCAGGAAGCAAGAGTTTCCAGAAGGCCCACAGGCTCCAGAGCCCCAGCTCTGGTCTGTGACCTGAGAGTAAGACCTTCCCTATGGGGTGTATCAAGGGTCACTGAGGAGGGTCCACCCTTGCTAGGTGCTCCCCGAAAGCTCTCTAAGAGCTCAGGTTGGCATAGCACCCCCCCACACACCCTTGGGTCATCTGAGCCTTCCACGTGGCCCAACGCTGGGAGGTCACACTCTCGCCTGACCCCGTAGTGCAGACGAGGAAACAGAGGTGGGGGAGGGGACAGGGCATTCCTACCTGAGCTCTGAGCCCCCTGGGAGGGCTCTGCATCATCCTTTCCCAGCTGGTCATCCTTTCCCAGCTGGCCGGAGGAGCCCTGTCCTTCGCAGTCTGTGAGAGCTCCCTCCAGACAGGATGACCTTTTCGGAAAGCCTGGGGCTGAGTGAGCGGAGGCCCCAGATATTCTCAGCTGGGATCTCACTGTGCTGGCCGTAGGCTGGCAGCAGGCTTCTCCTGGGAGGACCTCAGGATGCCCTGGGCCTGGACCTGGTATAACCCTACCTCTGAGGCCACAGGTTTTGGGGTCCATTGGGGGCACCTGGTACAGGACCAGCATTTGGGAGGGCAAGGGGCAGCCTGGAGCCTCCCTCACACATCAGCCTCCTGGAGACCCCCGGGGCTCTGTCCTCTGCCCTCCAAGCCCAGCAGGACTCACGCTGTTCTGCGAGGGGAGCCCAGCTCTGCTGCATCCAGGGTCTGGCCCAGGCCTGATGCTCAGGCAGCTGGCTGCGTCTCACCATTCCCACTGCATCTGGCTTTTCTCCACTTACTTGGCCAACATCTGCCTCCAAGAAGTGCTCACTGGGCCCACTGTCCACTGAGACACCAGCCCCGGGGCACTAGTAACCACCACAGCCCCACAGGGGACTCTTCTAGGCTGTCATGTGATGATTATAAATGAATGGATGGAGATCTAGCCGACAGATAGACAGGCTGGTCCTCCACTCCTAAAGCACCCTTTGTGTCCGGCCCAGTGCTCACACTAAGTGCTGTAACTCAGTTAAACCTCATGACCCCTGCAAGAAAGTCCATTTTCCCAGTGTTTAGACTGGGGACCCTGGGGGCTCGGGGCCATGAAGGGGTTTGTGTAGGACCACTGATGCTGCAGGTGGTGGACTCAGGAGTTTGCACCAGAGCCTGGCAGACAACATAGCCTCGGGTCTACTCCGCCCTGTCCTGCCGTGGGACCCCGGCTGAGTCAGGTCCCTCCCTTACACCCCTGGCTGAATACCAGGGGAAGGACCATTTCCAGGTAGAGCCTGGCTTGCAGAATAGCTGCCTTGCAGCACTCCCAGCTCAGGCCTGGGCAGGTGCCACCTCTTGGGGTGGAAGGCATCTGTTTATTTGCATGTGCATTTGTTTGCATATGAATATGCACTGAGGACTGCATGTACTGCTCTCCCCTAGTACGGGGACGGGGGACAGTCTTTGCACTGCTCCATGGGGGTGACAGATGGCCAACAGACTCACGTGTGAAAAGCAGGGTGCTCATGGGCAGGCAGGTAGAAGCAGGGCAGAGGGCAGGAGCTGGTTCCTAGGGCGGTAGGGAAAAGTTGCTCTAATGAGTGGGTATTTGTATCTAGGAGAGAGGGAGCCATGCAGGTGTCTAGAGGACTGAGCATCCAAGCAAGGTGGGGACAGCGAGTGCCCAGGCCCCAGGTGGGAGTGCGAGGGCAGCAAGAAGCTCCTGTATCTGAAAAGCTCCAGAAAGGGCAGAGCTGGGGTCAGAAAGTGAGGCAGGGCCCCCCAATGGGTTAAGGATCTGGGCTGTGCTTCTAGGGGACCACACCTCCAATCCTTCCCAGCACACACCACTCCGAGAGGTGGGGCGTACCGGGCGCTGTAGTTTGTCCCGAGCCTGCAGGTGCCATGAGACCAGGGCAGACCCTGCAGACCATCCCCATAGCTCTCCAGTCTGCAGTCAGCTGCCCCAGCCTGAACCCCCGCCTGGTCTGGTGCAGGAGGTGTCTCTTGCTCGAGCTGGGCCCATCAGGACTCTGGCGCCAGTCTCTTCTGCCTCTACTGCCATTGTTGGGGCCTGGGTGTGGCAGAGGGAGGAGGGCCAGGATGGGGCAGGAGTGGGGTCCACGCAGTCCCCTGAACTCCCTTCCTGCCAGGTACAAGGACAGAAAGTCAGTGTCCGGGCGCCAGAGTCCGCACGCCCTGGTGCTCAAGGAGGTGACGGAGGCCAGTGCAGGCATCTACACCCTCGCCCTCTGGAACTCCGTGGCTGGCCTGCAGCGCAACATCAGCCTGGAGCTGGTGGTAAACGGTACAGGGGCAGGATGGGGGAGGGGACACCAGGGGGCTGGGTGGGGGAAGGGCGGTGGATGTGCTGACAGGGACCTGCTGACCAGCTGTCTGCCTCTGCCCCTAGTGCCCCCCCACATCCACGAGAAGGAGGCCTCCTCCCCTAGCACCTACTCCCGCCACAGTCGCCAGGCCCTCACCTGCACTGCCTACGGGGTGCCCCCTCCTCTCAGCGTCCAGTGGCACTGGCGGCCGTGGACGCCCTGCAAGGCCTTCACCCAGCGCAGCCTGTGAGTGTGGCTCCAGCCTGTTCCTTCCCCGCTTCCCGGCCCCATCCCCAACCTTGGCCGTGACCCCCACTCCCTGCCTGCGCCCCTCCCCAGAGCCCTGCTCTAAGCTCGAACCCCACCACAATTCAGCGAGAGCCAATCCCTGACCTCACCTCGCCTGAGCAAGGCCCGGACCTGCCCTAGCATGAGTCAGGCTGGGCTGGACACTGGGGATGGTGCAGCCCCCACTATGCCCCTTGAAAATAAAGCCCCCCAGGACCCATAATTGCATCATCCAAGAGGACCACGGGACCTGGGCTCCAAGTGGGTGGACCTGCGCTAGTTTTATGAGCCTTGTACTGAGTCCCGCGACACACCAACCATGCCCAGTTAGCTTTTCCTTAGCCCTGTTCACGATGACCTCTTATAGAGGAGGCAACGGAGGGTTGGAGGAGGGACCTGCCTCTCCCAAGGTCACGGCTGTAAGCAGCAGAACCCGCCTGGGCCGTGCTTCCCTGTGCTGAGCTGGGCGCCAACAGGACAGAGTATGCTCCGAGCAGGGACAGCTTGGCCAAGCAAGAGATGGGAGAGGTGCCGAGGTGGCCAGCGGTCTGGAGGGCACTAAGGAGCCGTGAAGGGCGCTGAGTGGGGAGGAGTGGGGGGCCACATTTGCCATTCAGCTAGAGATCCTTGTGGGCAGGGTAGAGGGTCACAGGCTGGGCAAGGATGGATGCTGGGAACCCCAGGAGGAGACAGAGCGGCTGCACCCGGAGATGGGCCGTGACCCCAGCACGGTCAGAGGAGGAGGCTCTGTAGGGGTGGCCTGCTGCCTCCAAGGCTCATGAGAGATTCTTCTAGACCACCAGGCACTTCCAAATTTGCTTCCCTCTGATGCTCTACCGTTATGCTCTGGACCAACTGACAGAACCCTGTGGTCCTGCTCTGCCCTGCTGGAGGCAGAGAAGAGCCTCCCTTGGGACCCCAGACCCATGTCCCAACAAGAGACCAAAGGTGCTGGGGTCACACTCAGCCCAGGAAGGGGCTGCAGCTCTGGAAGGAGGAGAGAGAGGGCTTCCTGGAACAGGAGTGGTGACTCTGCTGCACCCCCCCAACCCTGGGAGATCTAGGTGGACTTTGCAGGAAGCGGCACATCTCGAGTAAGGGATGGTGGGCGCTGCAGGCCCAGAGGGGGACCGTGGGGCCACAGGTGTGAGCTGCTTGGCGGGCAGCAGCCCCGCGCCTACCGGGGAAGGCTGTGTCCAGCAGCCCTCACAGGACAGGCTGTTCCCAGCAGCCGGCGGCAGCAGAGAGACCACATGCCACAATGCCGGGACTGGAGAGAGGTGACCACGCAGGATGCCGTGAACCCCATCGAGAGCCTGGACACTTGGACCGAGTTTGTGGAAGGGAAGAATAAGGTGCGCGCACCGGCTGGTGCCACTGATGGGGAAGGAGAAGGGAGGTGGGGAGGGGCCCTTCCCTGGCCTTCTCCACCTCTACCAGGCTTGCAGAGTCACTCTGCAGTGTCTCTGGGCCTCAGCTCCCCTTCCTGCATGTGGATGGTGGGCTGGGGGATGGGGGGACCTCCAGCTGCTTCCCAGACGGGGAAGCTTAGATTGAAGGCAGCCTGGCCAGGCCCTGGGCCCCAGCCACCCTCAGGACCCAGGGCTGGGAGGGTCAGGCCTGGGGCCAGCCAGGTCCCCACCGAAGACAAACTGAGCTGCTGGCCCAGCCTGGGGGCAATGCCTAGAAGAGGCCAGGCGGGGGAGGGGACTGAACAAAGGCACCCACTTCCTACAGTCACTTCCTGTTTTCCTACACACCTCCAGAGCCTCTTCCTGTTCCAGGCCTGGCCAGGAAGTGCCCAGCTTGGAATGGGGTGGGGGGGTTGTTTGGATGGTAGGCAGGGCCTACAGCGGCCCTCTCTCCTCCCCCTGCCTCCAAGTGTCCTACTCCCCAGGCCAGAGTCCTTCAGGAGACCTGGGACCCATTCCCTTCCCAGGCCACCACCCAGGGCCCTGAGAGAGGGGCCGTGAGCAGCCCTGGGGGGAAAGTGGCACATCACAAGGATCTCACACAGGGACCAGCCTTGCTCCACACCCCAAATCCTAGCCCTGGCTCACACTGCCCCATTGCTAGACTGGGCCTGTCCCTTGCCCCACATGGCCACAACCCGAACCCATCCACACCCAGAGGCCTCGCTAGCCCTGCCTCAGTTGCCCTCTGACTTCAGCCTCAACCGTAGCTGTTCCTAGCCATGTCCTTGATTTTCCCGGAGGAGCCACCTCTGCTGTGCAAGGGCTTCACCTCCTGCGCCCCGCCGCACTGTTCCTGGTGCTGTCTCTGAGCCTTGGTCCTCTTCAGCTCGGGGCCTCAGTCATCCCCACCCCGCTGCTGGGCGCAGCGGCCTCCTTGCAGAAAGGGAGGACGGTCAGGGTGGGAGGAACTTGGGCAGGAAATGGAGCCCTGTTCTCGTGCTCTGCGTAGACGGTGAGCAAGCTGGTGATCCAGAATGCCAACGTGTCCGCCATGTACAAGTGCGTGGTCTTCAACAAAGTGGGCCAGGACGAGCGGCTCATCTACTTCTACGTGACCAGTGAGTGACCTGGGCGGGTCGGGAGCCAGGTGGGCACAGGAGGCCGGAGAGAAGGCCTGGAAGAGGCCAGTGAGGCCAGCTGGGGCCCAGTGAGTTTCTGAGGCTGTGGGGCATTGGGCCCCTGGGTTTGGGCGGGAGGGATCGATCTGGAGGACATCAGCATATGGACTGGGGTGCTGGTGCGCTGGGATGGAGGGGCACCCTCTGCCCCCAACCCTGGAGGTGCCTCCCCCCTGGTGTCCCTCCACTCCTTGTGGCTCCGTCTCCCTCCTGCCCCCTTCCTAACACAGCAGCTGGCTCACAGGTACACTTTTCCTGGGGAGAAGACCCATAGCTTTCTCCGATGTTCAGATGCGTTAGTGACCCCAGGAAAGCTAAGAAGCCCACTAAAGGACAGTCACTGGGCCCAGGAGTGTAGATGAGGGCACCCCGAGGAGACATGGGGCCAGAGAGAACACTTTGCGGGAGGGAGCCGGGAGAGGAGCCCAGGAGCCCCACGAGGAGTGTGGCCAGCCGGACAAGAGGAAATCAGGAGCAAGGCATTGCCACAAGCTAATGAAACAATGAGATTATTTCTAGGAGAGGACAGTGGTGGAGGGTGGTCGGCAGCGATGAGGATGGGACAGGACCACACCAAATGTGCTGATAAGGACTGCACTGATGGTCTGGGCTCCTGGGAGCAGTAGGGGCGGCAGCGGGGGTGGGGCTTGTCCAGGAGAGGGCTAGAAGAAGGTGAGGCAGGGGGAGTCAGTGGGGCTGACTTCAGGCAGCTGGTCCCACTGGTCAGTGTTGGGGAGAAGAGGGGTGAAGAGAGCTCCCTGGTGGGGTACCCAGCCCAGGTGATGCATGCTCTTGGTTGAGAGCAGAGTGAGTCCAAAGGCAGTTGGGAAAGGGAGAGCGGGCACCATGGCAGGCAGGGAGGTGAGCCAACTCTGGGCGAGGTGTCACGGAGCCTCCTCCTGCCTCCCCAGACATCCCTGATGGCTTCAGCATAAAATCCGAGCCATCGGAGGAGCCCCTAGAGGGCCAGGACGTGCGCCTGAGCTGCCGGGCAGACAACTACACCTACGAGCATCTGCGTTGGTACCGCCTCAACCTGTCCACGCTGCACGATGCGCACGGGAACCCGCTGCTGCTCGATTGCAAGAACGTGCACCTGTTCGCTACGCCTCTGGCCGCCCACCTGGAGGAGGCGGAGCCAGGGGCGCGCCACGCCACGCTCAGCTTGACCATCCCCAGCGTGGCGCCCGAGCACGAAGGCGACTATGTATGCGAGGTGCAGGACCGTCGCAGCCACGACAAGCACTGTCACAAGAAGTACCTGTCAGTGCAGGGTGAGGCGGGCGGGGCTGCAGGGGAGGGCTGGAGGCACTGCCCAAGGAGACTTTCTCCCCTCCCAGAACGCGCCTGGGCTGCCACTCGGGGAGCCTGAACCTGCGGGAGGGTCCTCTCCCCAAACCCCGCTGTGGAGGTCCACAGCCCTCCCGACCGTGCGCTCAAACCCGATCCTTCCTAGAGCTTGGCGCCATCCGTCCCCCCTCTCTGCTCCCAGCCCTGGAGGACCCCTTCCCCGCACGCCCTCCTGCTTTCTGCAACTCCACTTAGCTCCCTCTCCACCGCCACCCCTAGCCCTGGAAGCCCCGCGGCTCACGCAGAACTTGACCGACCTCCTGGTGAACGTGAGCGACTCCCTGGAGATGAGGTGCCCGGTGGCCGGGGCACACGTGCCCAGCATCTTGTGGTACAAAGATGAGAGGCTGCTGGAGGAAGAGTCTGGTAGGGTGGTGGACGCGGGCCAAGGGCGGGGCTGCAGAGGCTCCCCAGGTTGAGGCCCCAAACCCCTCTGAACTCAAAGCAACCCAACGTCCCCTGCAGGAATCGACCTGGCGGACTCGAACCAGAAGCTGAGCATACAGCGCGTGCGTGAGGAGGACGCGGGCCGCTACCTGTGCAGCGTGTGCAACGCCAAGGGCTGTGTCAACTCCTCTGCCAGTGTGGCAGTGGAAGGTCCGGCCTGCCCCCTGCCCCCTTCCACCCACCTGCCCCCCCACACCCGCACTTGGCGCCTTCTCAGAGCCACCTCCCTCAAGTCGTGCCCACCAGAAGGGGAGCTGCTCGCAGGGTGCACCCTCCTCCCCCTAACACACACACACACACACACACACACACACACACAAGACTAGCCCCTTTCTGTCCACTCAGGCTCCGAGGATAAAGGCAGCATGGAGATCGTGATCCTTGTCGGCACCGGGGTCATCGCTGTCTTCTTCTGGATCCTCCTCCTCTTCATCTTCTGTAACATGAGGAGGGTGAGCGCTCCTCCCAGAACTGAGCCTCTCAACCGCTCCTTGTGGGGTCTCTGTACGCCCCGCACAGCCTGTAAGATAAGGAATAAGGTCCTCAACCGCCCTCAACCGCCGCCCCCAACCCCTGCGCGTCCCGCTTCCCGGCCACTGCGCCTCAGCTAAGGCGCAGCCAGAGCTCCTGCCCGTGGGGGCGTAGGGTCCCCAGCTCGTCCTGCTCGCCCCTTGGAGGCTGGAGTTTCAGGTGGCACTGGGAAGAATTCCTCAGATCCGAGCCCAGGGCCCCCATGAAGAACCCTGGGGGAGACTCTGGCTCTGAACGTCAGTTTCCCCTCCCGAACCACAGCCCCACCAGCCCACCCAGAGTCGCTGCCCTGGCTCACCTGGCAGCCTCACCTCCTGGGAAGCCTCGCTGAGCCCTCCATGCTGGGCTCTTGCACAACCAGAGATTGTCAGTCCGTCTGTCCCCTCCTTGCTTGAGGGCCCCAAAGGAGATCCCATCTGTCCTGGGGAAAAGTTCACCCAAGACCGTGGTATGGCCAAATCAATTAGTTGTCCCCCCCACCCCCACCCCAGCCAGCCCACGCAGACATCAAGACGGGCTACCTGTCCATCATCATGGACCCTGGGGAGGTGCCTCTGGAGGAGCAGTGTGAATACCTGTCCTATGACGCCAGCCAGTGGGAGTTCCCCCGGGAGCGGCTGCACCTCGGTGAGGCGGTCCCCCAGCCCGCCCCACCCTACCCTGCCGGTCAGCATAGACCGCTTCCCTCTGAAGTGCTGAAATCCCTCCATTCTCAGGCCAGAAAGTCATGCCTGGCCCCCACCTGGCCTGACCTGCCCATCTGGGCGTGCATCCCAAGAACTGGAGCCAGGGTTCCAGTTCTCAGGCTCCCCGGGGTCACTTCCCGCTGCTCTGAGCAGGGCGGGGCCCATCACACCTGCTGGGAGAGGATGCAGGCCTTCCTGTCCGCCTCTCCTCGCCCTCTCTCTCTCGCTCCTGCTCTCCGTGCTCTTCCTGTTTGGCCGAGAGGCTCCCGAGTTTCCTCCCCCTCCTGGGCCTTCCTTCCTGGCCCTGCAGGCGGGTCGCCCCTGCTGCCCGTCCCTCTTCACCCTCGCCCTTGTACAGCTCACCTGGACCCGGCTCCCTGCCCCCCACAGGGAGAGTCCTCGGCCATGGGGCCTTCGGGAAGGTGGTGGAAGCCTCGGCTTTTGGAATCCACAAGGGCAGCAGCTGCGACACTGTGGCTGTGAAAATGCTGAAAGGTGTGCGGTCAGCTGGTGGAGGCGGGGGCGGTGGGACTGGCGGGGGCAGCGACTCTGGGTGGGCTGGTGGGGCTGTGGTTCGGGAGGGGAAACTGACGTTCAGAGCCAGAGTCTCCCCCAGGGTTCTTCATGGGTGAAGATCTGGGCTCGGATCTGAGGAATTCTTCCCAGTGCCACCTGAAACTCCAGCCTCCAAGGGGCGAGCAGGACGAGTTGGGGACCCTACGCCCCCACGGGCAGGAGCTCTGGCTGCGCCTTAGCTGAGGCGCAGTGGCCGGGAAGCGGGACGCGCAGGGGTTGGGGGCGGCGGGCCCAGCACCACGCGAAGCCCTCGTGTCCCCTCCAGAGGGCGCCACAGCTAGCGAGCACCGCGCCTTGATGTCGGAGCTCAAGATCCTAATCCACATCGGTAACCACCTCAACGTAGTCAACCTGCTGGGGGCGTGCACCAAGCCCAATGGTACGGAGCTCCCGGCCCCTGACTCCCTGGTGGGAGGGGCCTGTTGGGCTTGTATGGGCGGGGCTGGGCCGGGGCGGTGCAGGAGGGCGGAAGGGGGGCGTTGCTGAGGGGCCTGCGTTCCGGCCTGCCCTCCGTCACCAAGCGCCTGGCTCCTGCCCTGCCCTAGGTCCCCTCATGGTGATCGTGGAGTTCTGCAAGTATGGCAATCTCTCCAACTTCTTGCGTGCCAAGCGGGAGGCCTTCAGCCCCTATGCGGTAAGTGGGAGCCCTGCCAGTGGCCGGAGCTCTGCCGGGAGCCCTCAGGACGCCAAGGTGGGCTAGGGGGAGGGGAGCGGGGGGAGTGGAATGGCTCTGCTGTGGGTGGCGGAGCCCCCCTAAGACCCACTCTGTGCCTTCGCAGGAGAAGTCCCCTGAGCAGCGAAGGCGCTTTCGCGCCATGGTGGAAGGGGCCAAAGCTGACCGCAGGAGGCCGGGAAGCAGCGAGAGGGTTCTCCTCTCCCGCCTCCTGATGGGCAAGGGCGGAGTAGGGCGGGCCCCTCCGGTCCAAGAAGGTAAGAGCCTGGCTTCCCCTTGCCCGAAGAGGTCTGGCTGGCAGGAGGATGCCTCATGATCAGGGGACTGTGGGAGAAGCTGGCCTTGGGCCCTTCCTGGAGGGGCTTACCTAGGAGAGTGTGCGATGGGCTTTTCCTTTGGGAGGGAGGACACCACAGGGACAGTTTCCACAGAGACGGTTGACATTTGATTCGGCATCACTGGCCATCTAGGCCTTTGCCTTCCAGACACGGGTGGGAGTAGCAGGTGCAAAGGTCCAGGGACACAACAAGATTCCTGGCTCTGGGAGTGGTTAGTGGGTGTTGCAGAGAGAGTGGGTGCTGAGGGGCAGGGGAGGGGGCCCACACGCTTGTTAGCTAGCGCCAGGGGCCTCAAGGGCCTGACCAGGAGGAGTGCGGCCAGGGGCGGTGAACACATGGTCCCTTTGGGGAAGGGTAGAAGATGAGAGCCATGGAAAAGGCCCCCCCGCTCTCCGCTGACCCTGTCTTGCTCCTTTGTGCAGCCCAGGACCTGTGGCTGAGCCCGCTGACCATGGAGGACCTTGTCTGCTACAGCTTCCAGGTGGCCCGAGGGATGGAGTTTCTGGCCTCCCGCAAGGTGACTGCCCCAGCAGGCCCCTCAGAGGGGAGGAGGGTGCAGACCACCAGCATACCAAGGCAGGCACTGTCCTAGCTCGCCCCACAGCAATACCGTGGTCAGCACGTGTTACTCCCACTTTGCAAAGGAGAAAACTGAGACCAGAGTGTGGAAGTGATTTCCTGAGATCTCTAGCTAGTCAGTGACAGAGAGGTGAATGTGGAATCTGTCCCACCCCACAGCCTCCTCTGTCCCCATAGTTCCATGAGCCCTCTCCATGGAGAGTCCTGGGGGAGCATAGAAATCGCTCCATGAAAGAGCAAGGCTCAGGCACGGGTGGGCCCCGGGGACCTGTGCTGACCACCCCCTCACCCCTCCCCATCCTCCTAGTGCATCCACAGAGACCTGGCCGCTAGGAACATCTTGCTGTCAGAAAGCGATGTGGTGAAGATCTGTGACTTCGGCCTGGCCCGCGACATCTACAAAGACCCTGACTACGTGCGCAAGGGCAGTGTGAGTGCAGGCCACGGAGGGAGGGCAGGATGGGGGCACGGACCTCCCATCCAAGAGCCATCTCCATGGAAGGTCGCAGAGCCCGCACCTACAGGGACCTTAGTGGCCCCACCAGGAAGTAGAGACAGGAGCCGATGGGCAGGGACACTGGTGCTTCAGCTGGAGTTTGTGTGGCCCCCTGCCTTTGTCCATGAGGTGGACGCTGACTGACCCCGCATGCCTGCCCTGCATGGGCTCGGCATCAGAGGTGGACCCTGCATGGTGGAGTCACAGAAGGGCATGTGGGTGCTGGGATCAGTGTGCGTCTCATCGGTGGTGCTCAGAGGTGGCCAGGCAGGCACTTAAATGAACACTCAAAGCTAATTGGGGGTTTGTGCCCCGGAGGAGGAAGGAAGAGACTTGGAGTGGGGGACAATGGGCAGGATGGGTCTAGGATGTGGTGGGCCACCCTGTCAGCCTAGCCACCGTGAGGAAGGCCTTTGCCCTTCACTCTCACGGGATGGGAGAGTCAGGTGCACCATCCAGAAGCTCCCTCTGCAGGCTGTGAGGAAGGAGGGGGTGTGCTGGGGTGGAGGCCGCGGCCAGTCAAGAGGGGCCAGATGCCCTCAGGGTTCCCAGGTAGAGGCCCCAGGAGGTAGAGAGACAGACCATGGGGAAGGCACATCACAAGCCCCAGGACGAGCAGTCAGAAGTGATGCCCGGCTTCCAGTGTGGGGACCAAGTGAGCAGCAGAGGTGGGGACGGTGAGGGGGTGCAGGGTCCCAATTCCTCCAGAGGCTAGGTCTGGGGTCTGGGGGAAGAGGGGTTCCAAGTGCCCCCCAAGAGTACACAGGGGAAGAAAGGGGCCCAGACAGACCCAGGAGAGCAGCAGGGCAGAAGCCTTCAAGGAAGACACCAGGCACCTACGGGGTGGGGGCCAACTGTGAGAGTTTTCTGAACGCACAAGGGGCGGCTATGGCCCAAGGCCTTTCTTGGGGTGTGGCTCCAGAGTTCCGGGCAGGCTGGGGGTGAGAGAGGGGCTGCCCACGTGTTTGGCCTTCTCCCTCTCTTCCCTCGCTCCATGGAGACATGCTTCCTTCTGCCTCCCCCAGGCCCGGCTGCCCCTGAAGTGGATGGCCCCTGAGAGCATCTTTGACAAGGTGTACACCACGCAGAGTGACGTATGGTCCTTTGGGGTGCTGCTCTGGGAGATCTTCTCCCTGGGTAAGTGCAGGGCAGGCTGTGAGGGAGGGGAGAGGCAGGATCCTAGGCTGCAGGTCATGGCACCTGCCCTTTTGAAGCAGGGGGCCGACTGGCCCAGAGCTGTTGCACCTGCAGCAAGCGGTCGTTCTTCAGCAAGTGGTCCAAGAGCCCTCCACCTCTCCCCTTTGCCTCCACCATGGGCCCCCCTGGCGCCACCTCTGCAGGGTGGTGTGCTCTGGCCTCTGACAGGTGACAGGGCATGGCCTGTGTTTCCTGGGCAGTCCCCAGGATCAGCATAGGTCCCAAGAGGAGAGGCCTCATGGGTCCCCCAGATCTTCACCTCCCTGGATGAGCCCCCTCCTCAACCTGTCACTGGGGAGACCGCTTCTGCCTTCAAGGGCTGGGGAGTGTCCCGGAGGAGACTGGATGCTCAGGCACAGGTGTACCTACTTATGAGAGCTCCATGTGGGCCCCTGGGCCCCACCGGGACCAGGATGAAGCCCCCACGCTAGGCCAGAGTTGGGCAGTGAGCCAAGGGAGAAGCAAAAGCTCCAAAGAGCCACCAGGATGAATGCTATCACTACAAACACAAGGGCCTGGAGAGCGCAGGGAGGGGCAGGGCTGTATGCGAGCTGGAGGGGAGGGCACAGCTGATGAAGGGGCTCGCTGGGGAAGACAGCAGGCCAGGGTGAGGGGGCAGCCAGGCTCCTGGTCCCCACATGTTGGCGGTTGGCCAGGCATGGGCAGGGGGAGTCGGGAGGTGCAGCAAGGAGGGGAGGGGAGGTCCGTGCGGGCCCTGCGAGCCGGCCAGGGGGAGGACCCCGGACTCTGAGTCCCAGGGGAGCCACTCAGGGCTTGGAGCAAGGGAGAGAGCAGCGTGACTTGTCTTAGGAGGATCGCCCTGCTGCTGTGCGGCTTGCCCTCGGGGGCCCAGGGGGACCAAGAGGCTCTTTGGGGCTTTCTCCCGTGGCCAGGTGCTGCAGGGCTAGGACGAGTTAGGTCCCAGGTGGGTTGGCAGGCAAAGCCACGGGATGTAGGAAGGGGTTCGATTGGCCAGGGAGGGTGTCTCTGAAGAGGGGTGATTGTGACAGGCCTGGCTTGATTGGCTCAGTGTGGCTCCCTGACCCTGGTGATCCCCCATGTTTTCATCCATCATCCTCTTTTAACCAAATGAATAACTATCACTGGGAGACAGAAGTGCCTTGGCCGCCCCCGCCCCCAGCCCCAACCCTGGCCTGGAAGCAGCAGGACCAGCCCCCTGCCATAGGGGGCCAGGAGAGAGGAAGTATGGGGGGCTGGGCTGAGCTGCAGGTACCTGCTCCCCACTCACCCCTACCTCATCCTGTTCTGCCATCAGGGGCCTCCCCCTACCCGGGGGTGCAGATCAACGAGGAGTTCTGCCAGAGGCTGAAAGAGGGCACACGGATGCGAGCCCCAGAGCTGGCCACCCCCCCCATGTGAGTTTCCCGGCTGGCTCTGCTTGTGGTGGGGGGTTGGGGGGGGAGGGAGGTGGCCCTGGGTGGGGGGTCTTGTATGCAGGCAGGGGGCAGGAATAGGGAGGGGCTGCAGACACGGGGTTCGGGTAGAGACCTGCAGATGAAGTCTCTTACTCCACCCCTGACCCCCTCACTGGTCCATTGACAGCTCTCCTCCCCCCACCCCCAAGCAGAAGAGTCTGGGTGGGCCGGGGCAGTGGGGAGCGTGAGGGACCGGGGTTAGGCAGGGGAGCTGGGGTCTGCTGGTGCAGGGTGCAGGCGTGCTCAGACCACAGGCCAGCAGCCAGCTTTACCCACAGACGCAGCGTCATGCTGAGCTGCTGGTCAGGAGACCCCAAAGAGAGGCCTGCATTCTCAGAGCTGGTGGAGATCCTGGGGGACCTGCTGCAGGGCGGGGGCCGACAGGTAAGTGTACCTCTGTCCTCCCGGTTGGGCTACAGCAACCTCTGGCCCCCAGCCCCAGGGCCCTCAAACAGCTGACCAGGGCCCATCTTTGGCCATGAGGAGCCCCAGGCTGGTCTTCGGGGGGTCTGCAAGGAGACCCTGTCTCCGGCCAAAGGATGGTGTGTCCCTCCCTCCACCTTCCTCTTTGTGCTTCTGCTTCCTATAGCCCTGCCCCCGACACCCACCCCTGACTTCCGTCTCCCTCCCCCGGGGGCTCCCCGGGCGGGGGGGGGGGGGGGCGGTGTGCAGGGAGCTCAGCCAGCTCAGGGCTGCCCTGGTGCTCTGGGATCTGGAGGAGTGAGCAGGGGCTGCCTGCAGCACTTGGGAGTCCAAGTCTGCCCCCAAAAGAGGGGACCCTGGATTGGGATTGCCCCTGCCGCACCCCCCTCCTTGTAAGTGGGGCACCTGTTGGGAGAATTTGCCGGGCAGGCTCATTTAATCCCCAGAGCACCTTGGAGCGCAGAACTTCCCCAGTCAGGAGCCCCGGCTGTCCTGAGCGCGGGGTGGGGGCCACGGGGGCACGGTGGTCTCTGACCACCGTGGCCTCTGCCATTCCTGCCAGGAGGAGGAGGACTGCATGGCCCCCTGCGGCTCTCACAGCTCAGAAGAGGGCAGCTTCTTGCAAGCGTCCACCACGGCCCTGCACGTGGCCGAGGCCGACACCGAGGACAGCCCACCGAGCCTGCACCGGCACAGCCTGGCCGCCAGGTCAGCCACCCCTGGCCCGGTGCCGGGATCCCCCCAGGGCAGGGAGAAAGCAGGTCGGACGCAGTCTATTTTATTCCCGCCAGTCATCAAGGACCAGCAGACGACAAGGACTTGAGAGACCTTTGTACACCAACTGAAAGAGCACAGTGGTTTTTTAAATGACAGTACTGGGTCTGGGGCTCCCTAGAGGGCCTGGGGAGCCTTGGGGCCCCTCCAAGACCATGTAGCCTGTGACTTCACTTTCCTCCACGCCCCCTCAGACCTTCCCTCTGCCCTGCAGCCTCCTCTGCTTCGGGCACTCCTGGACCCCGAAAGCCCCTCCCCCCAATTTGAAATTTCGGATCCCAGGAGCAGGACGGGCCAGCCACTCGCCCATGTTCAGGATTTAGAACGTAGCCTAATTTCCCAGAGTTCTGGACCCGAGGCCTCTTGCCAACAGCTATTTACACTCCAGGAAGACTGTTCACATTCCCAATGGGGTTGCCGAGAGAAGGGCTCCAAGACCTGCCACCCCATGTGCTCCAGCAGAGGACATGGGAAGTGGGGACAGGGTGCCCACTAGGCTCCTTCCACCAGCCACCCCAGCGCACACGCAAACATGCACACACAGATGCACACACGGCCCCGTGCACATAGGCCAGGTGGCGGCTTGCACAGAGGGACCCCTTCTGGGGTGAAGGCCCCCCCATCTCACCAGCCCCATGCCACACCCAGGTTGGGTGTGCTCCACTCACCTCCCATGCCCTTCCCAGGAGGTGCTCTCCTCTTGCACAGGAGAGGAGACATCCCGGGACAGGGGGGCCAAGCGGTGGATGGCAGCAGCCCCCTCCTCCTCCGGGAGGAACTCAGACCAGCACTCAGACCCAGGCCCCATACTCACAGCCCAGGCCTGGGGTCCTTCTGGGAGGAGACGGGGCAGAAGGAGAGATGGAGAGAGCTTTCTTCAGCACTCTGTTTTCTCCCCACAGATACTACAACTGCGTGTCCTTTCCGGGGTGCCTGGCCAGAGGGACTCAGACCCAGGGCTCTTCCAGAATGAAGACGTTCGAAGAATTTCCCATGACCCCGACGACCTACAAGGCCTCTGTGGTAAGTGGGGCAGATGGGTCTGTGCCCCCCAGATCAGGCTTTCTCCGCTGGGAGGAGGTATCAGGACCTCCCAAGGCCCGCAGGGGAAACCAGCTCAGGAAGGGGAGCTGCATTGAAATGTCAAGTCCAGATTGCACGTCGGGCATGTTGGGGTCTGTGTGTCCCTGTGATGCCACCATCTCTCAGCGGCTTTCCCCCGTGCCCTCCTCACACACACCGGTCTCCCCTTCACACAGCAGAGAAACTCAGTGGAAAGACAGCTTCTCCTTCCAGATGATTATCTTTGGATTAGCCTGAGTCAGGGCTTCCCTTTGGTGGCCACCAAGCCATGTGGCCAAAGAAGGGGACGGTGTCCCTCGAGGAAGAGGCCGGGGTACGGGGTACATGACACAGCAGTGTTCTCAGATCTACTCAAGCAGAGTAGACCTCTCAGGGCACTGGGAGGCTGGAGCCCGTGGGTCCATTTTGCAAAAGCACAGACTCATCCTCAGCCTGGAGCAAGTGCACAGAGCTGGGAACCTTCCCGCCCCGGCCTCCCTGCAGACGGGCCTGCTCAGTGAGCGCTGGCCCCGGCTCCTGTCACCCAGGGCAGATGGAGATGTTGGGGGGCCCCCAGCTGTGACAAGAGTGCTGTTTCCTTCCATGTCATGCAAAACGAAAACCACGCCAAGTCACGCACCATCGAAGGGCGACAGAGCCCCACTAAATGTGGGATGGGTCTGTGTGAGGACCATTTTGTTACCCCATGAGCTGCCAGATTCTTTCGAGAGGCTCCCTGTTTCTCCCTGTGTTCCTGCTCTGCCTGCACCCTGAGCCTCAGCTTCTCCCTCCCTGGCAGGGGTATGTGACCCTCACCTGCATGCTTCAGCGAGGAACGGACACATGCTTTCTGCTCAGTTTCCACAGGGCGGGTGTCAGGTCTGCAGAGGAGGTCCGTGCCACGCTGTCCTGGCTGGGGGGTGCAGGGGGGGCTACCTGCAGACGGGCTTGTTCTCTCTGCACAGGATAACCAGACGGACAGTGGGATGGTGCTGGCCTCCGAGGAGTTTGAGCAGCTGGAGAGCAGGTACAGACAAGAAAGGGGGCTCAGGTAGGGCTTCCAGAGCCTCTTTTCCTGCAAGGGGCCGGGACGGGGAAGCTGGGCCTGTGTGTGCCCATCACTGACTCACCTGAAACCTCTCGTAGCTCCCTATTACTTTTTTGGGTGTTCAGAGCAAGATGCTCTGGGACTCAAGGCCTTTGGCCACCTGGGAAGCCCCCTCCCCCATCAGCATCCTGGCCCAGCACACCTGGTGCTGGTCCCCACACTTCCCTTCCATGTTACAGGTGCTCAGAGGCCACCTCTTTGTGAACCGAGTATGATCTAGCATGCCCACTGTGCCTATGCACCCCTCCCACAGCCAGGGGGCGCCACCACCATCCCCAGCCCACCCACCCACCCCCACCCCGCATTTTAGCTCCCATTTAAGCTCCGAGGCCTCAGGAGCCAGACAGATCATGTGACCTGGAGCTGGCTGGTGTCCTTTTTTGATACGAATGCAGTCACAGAGAAATCCTCACATGCCTGTACAGAGGATGACCTCCCTTTGTCCAGGAAGATAGCCATCCCCCCCAAAAAAACCCTGAATGTTTAATCTTTTAAGGGTATAGGTGAAATAGTTAAACGTCTACCTACTTACTCTAGAAGTCAACTTGCACACAGCTGTTTAAATGACAGAACCTATAGGGCGCCTGGCTGGCTCAGTCAGTAAAGCATGGGACTCTTGATCTGTGTCTTTGTCAGGAGCCCCTTTTTGGGGTCATCTGACATAGTTTTCTGGAACGAATCCTGGCTTCTGCCTATGCTGTTTTTTTAATCAATGTGTGATGTTGTCACTGAGTTTTTTTACCCGAGATCGCAAGTATTTATTTGTATCACGTTAGGATAGTTGATGTGATTCTTCACCTTTCCGGTAGGTATGTTTATGAGCTCTGCAGCTGAACCAACTATCGGTTATTTTCCCAGCAGCCTACAAGAGGTGTGTCTGCCGTGGGTGCTGGTGGTTTGTGGGGGTCACGTACCCAGCTGTACCATGCACCTTGGCCTCCTTGATCACCTATTGGGTGATCTCCGTTAATAACCTAGTTTTGGAAAACGATTGCTAATTGCATTATTGGAAATAGTGTCTGGCTAATGTTTCTTTACCCAACGGTATTTTATATCTCAAAAAAAAAAAAAAAGGTAATTCAGTAAGAGGGTGAGCCGGGGGATGGTTGCTACTTAAGTTCTAATCTCCACACATCTTCATAAAAACAGCCCATGGAGTCAGGCCCCTCAGAGCCCATGCCTGTGCCGTAAGCAGGAGAGAGAGACTCAAGTTTATGTGTGAGTAGGAAACCCAGTGCTGGGACCAGCAGAGCCATACCTGAGTCACGGAGGAAGGAAAGGAAGATGGGGCCTGCCCCAGGAGAGAGGAGTATCTCGAGGTCCTTGGGACAAACCAGGGAGATGAGGGAGGAGGCAGAGGTCTAGTGGAGGAGGCTCCAGGGCAAGTCTGAGGCACCAGGGGCAGCCGTCTGGGGAAGGCAGTGCTTCTGAATGGCCAGTGAGCAGAATGCGAGTGCTTAGTGCTGAAGGAAGAAGAAAGTTGCAGAAGATAAGAGTCCTCCAGAAGCAAAAATCCAGAAGACAGATCTACACCCAAGGGAATTGTTTATTACAGAAACTGCACCTCACAATAGCAGCAATACAAAGCACTCTTGTCCACACAGGTTCCCTCGGAAACACATCATGACCAGCCATTGAGAGGTACACCTGCATTCGCTTGGCATGTGGAACATTCTCCAAACAGGTGCAAGGATAGAATGTGCCTTGGATGGCTCTATGGGGGAGAAGTAGGAGGGGGCCTCTCTGCCCAGTCCTTTCTTGTCTCCTTTGAGCCACTGATCAGCACTCGCCCCCACAGGGTCCTCAATTTCAAGTCATTCATCTGGCCCTTTCAGTGGCCGCACAGGATGCCACATCCACACCCTACAGGGTGGCGTCTCCTCCAAGTGTGTAGGCAAGAGGAAGATCTGGAAGCCCTCGGCTTGTGTTAGGTCAGCATGGCTACGTGGCAGCAGCTGAGGGGGCGCCCAGCACTCCCAGCAAAGTGACTGGTTGGTTCCTGGTGGCAATACAACACCATAACACAAATGGAGCCTTTGCAAAGAAGGATGCAGTTGAAGGAATTCAAGATGATGCCAAAGATGTGGGTGCCTTACTCATTAAGCATCTGCCTTCAGCTCAGGTCATGATCCCGGGTCCTGGGATCAAGCCCCACATCGGGCTCCCTGCTCAGTGGGGAGTCTGCTTCTCCCTCTGCCCCTCCCCCCCCACTCATGCTCTCTCTGACAAATAAAATCTTTTAAAAAAATTAAAAATATCATACACTATCCATACAGTTATTATAAAAATAAAAAAAATAGAATGAAAACTTTTCAGTAGCTGTCAACACTCAAAAAAAAAAAATGAAGCAGAGAAAAACTGATACAATACTCCGACGTGAATTAAATATATAATTAAACAGGCACGGCATCAGGAGTCGGAAATTCAAACATTCAGAATGGAAATGAACAGTGCGAAGGTATCAAATGGTGGCTGACTACGTTCAGGAAAGAAATTGAAATAAAAGACAAATGCCCACAAAAATGAAGACCAGGGTCGGCGGAGGCCCAAGGATCAATAAATACGATCAATGCTCCCTTACAGGGAAAGAAACAGAAGGTGGACATGAAGAGACAAAAGAAAAGAAAACCAAAATAAATAAAGAGGTAAAGAAGACCAGAAGCAAAGTTGGCAAGTGCAAACTAGTGTGCAATATCTGAGTAGAAAAGATCCAGTATATATAAAATTGGAGTCTCCGAAGGAGACGATGCTGGCCGTGGAACAAAACTAATATTTTAAAATTGTAACCCAAGGGACCCTCTCAAATAAAAGAAGAACTGAATCTACATAGCAGAAGAGGGCCTGGGAAAACTGCCCCAGAGCAGTGGAGTTGGCTGCATATCTGAGTTGAACTGTTAAGATTTTCAAGGTAAACATTCTGGGAATTCAGGCAAAAAGGCTGAGTCATTTATGAAGGAAAGAAAAAGAAAAGTCAGGTTGGCACCAGGCTGAGCACCATGCACAGCAAAAACAAAATCAGAAGAAATGAAGCAAGGTCTTCAAAAATCTCAAAGAAGGTGCACCTGGGGGGTGCAGTCGGGTAAGCGTCCGACTCTTGGTTTCGGCTCAGGTCATGATCTCAGGGTCATGAGCTCCAGCTCCGCGCTCAGTGGGGAGTCTGCTTGAGGATTCTCTCTCCCTCTCCCTCCCTCTGCCTCTCTCCCCACTGGTGCTCTCTCTCTCAAATAAATAAATAAAATTTTTTTCAAAATCTCAAAGAAAGTGAGAGCTAAGTAGGGAGCATCCTAGGGCCGTCGGGGAGGAGGCAGGGGTGGGGGCTGGCACCTCTCTCAGGGTGAGAAGCTTGGTGCTCATTCTGGGAATGACGAAGAGCCATTGGGGGATCTGTCAGGAGAAGGACATTCTCTGGCAGAAAGGAACTCTGAAGCAGCATTGGGAGAAGAGAGACGGGCCAGGAGAGTGCAGAGCGTCAGAGGTGGGCGCTCGCTCTGGACCGGGGCCGGGCATGCAGAGAGGGGCTCGGGCCCATTCTGGAGTCAGCACAGACAAGACTTCTGGATGGACTGGATGTGAGGGGTTTGGGGAAAGGGAAGAGCAAGGATGACGCCCAGGGCCCTGAGCCACGGAGTCGGTGCGTTTACAGAGATGGGCGAGTCTGGGAGAGAAACAGGTCTGGGAGCACGAGGTGGGCGTTCGTCGTCCCACGTGCAGGCTGGGGACAGAGAAAGCTCCAGGGTTTGCCAACCCTCACGTCAGTCTGGTTCACTGTGCGAGTCAGGTCTGTGTCTCCGAGGGCTCTGCGCCCGCTTGGAGCTCCAGTGGTGTCTTTGGTGACTCCAACCAGACCCCGACTGGGGTCCTGTGCCTTTTCTCTTCTTGTCTTACTGACCATCACCTTCCCTGTCTCGGCAGCTGTAAAGGACCGGGCCAGAACGTGGACGTGACCAGGGCGCACCCTGACACCCAAGGGCGGCGGCGGCGGCCGGACCGGGGGGCACGGGGAGGGCAGGTGTTCTACAACAGCGAGTACGGGGAGCTGGTGGGGCCGCAGGACAAGGGCGACTGCCCCCCATCCACCCGTGCACCCTTCTTCACAGATGACAGTTATTGAAGCAGCCCCGGGCAAGGCCCCTGAGCCCTCGGGTCTGACAGCTGGTGGGGGCCATGCCTAGAGGCAAGCAGAGGGCTGGGTACTCCTCTCCCTCAGCTTGGTCAGCACGTATTTCTTCCTCCCTAGTTAGGAAGAGCAAGACCGAGGCTCCAGGGCTCCCCCAGACTCCATCACCACACCTGCACCCCCAGGCCACCCTGCGGATCCCCCGGGGCCTTCTTCCCTTGAGATTCAGATTCCATTCAGCCCCATACCCACGGGGCTGGTCTGGATTGCCTCCTCCCACCATGGTGGGTAGGGGCATGATCCCCATTTTCTGAGGAGGACTCTGAGGGTCTGAGAGTCACAGTGATGGACGTGAAGCCAGACTTGAGCTGCGGTCCCCAAATCCCACCCCACTCATTGTGGGAATGTCCTCACTCATTCCCGTGGGAATGGCTTTCTTGGCTCTCCAAGGCTGAGAGAGGGCACCATATTTCCATCTCAAACGACAAATAAGGATTTGGGGGGGGATGGGGTGTCCTCTCCAGAGCCCAGCCAAACAGCTCACCCTCCCAGGGGCCGTGGTCTCTGCTGGGCCAAGCGTCACAGTGTACCTACCCCTGGGTAATGACAACTATTCAACAGATGCTTTTTCATTAGAACTTCAGAGACTCTTGGAGCTGCTGTGAATAATTTAGTTTTCAAAACATTAGTCTGAGGGGAGCCCAGGGAAGGTCTTTCTGAATCTAGATGATTCTTGCCTCTGACCCCCAGGCAGGTGCCGACATAGCACAGGCCACTGCGGCCCCACCTGCCTGGCCCAAAACTGGAAGAAGCAGCTGATGGTCCAGAACAGCCCAGTTTGAGAAATGGCTGGTTCTTCCCTCCGAGGCCGGGATCTGCCACCCACGGCACCTTCCAAGCTGTGAATGGCCTTTTGAGAAGCAAACACCGCGGGACCCACTGAGGAAGGTCTTTGGTGCTGGCCCAGAGGAGCTGCCACATGTGCCAGGAGGCCATCAGCAGGCGTTCTGGTGGCCCCAGGGGGCCCCCTGTGTTCATCCCCCCCCCCCCCGCCACCCGGTCTGTGCCTGATGTCGGCGCCCTGGCAGATCAAGCCTCTGGCCTCCCAGGAGAGTGGCCAAGAGCCCCCTGGAGGCTGGAGCTGTTCTGCCCAGGGCCCCTCCCATTCCAGCACCCACTGCCCAGCCACCCCTACCCCCGGCCGAGAGAGACCCTTCTCCAGTTAGCACCGTGGAGATGGACATCCCACTCCCACCCCACGAGACGCTTGCAGGACAGGCGGCCGTGCAGCGAGCAGGGGCTTGCCCAGCAGAACATCCCCTCCCCCCACCACCCCTTGTGTATTGTGCCTTTAAGATACGCCGAACGCACGTGTCTCTACAGTCCTTGCTGTCCCCAGTGGCCCTCCTCCTCTGATGTCATCTGACTGGGAGACACAGTTCTCAGGTTTAGCTGGTGGAAGTCCAGAGGCTGTTCTCACCCTGAGGAGCAAGGCCCATGATGCAGGTGCAGGGGCACCGCCCCCTCCAGGGCCCTCCCTACATGCATACCACCTGTTTACGTCCCCTCTCCCCCTGTCACATGACTGCACCTGCGAAAATGTACTGGGAAGAAAACCCACCACAGCCTTGTAGACCATGTGTTCCGAAAAGATCTAAAATATTTAACAAACAATAATAATAAATTTGATGCCAGTCTTTGCATTACAATGAATGGGTTCCCAGCTAAGTCCCGGCTGTCTGTGAAGATTGGATTCCAGCGTCCTCCCACGGGATCATCAGCCCCACCAGGCCACTGGACAGGCCATGCCAAGGACCAGACAGCAGAGGCCTGGGCTCGGGGTCCTCCCCGCCCCCCAGCCATTTGTGCAGTTCCCCAAGGCCAGCAGCAGAGGGCGCCGGGGAAGCACCAGGAGGCCGGGCTCCTCTCCCCATGCCGGGAAGCACCCAGCCTGGCAAGCAGCAAACCCGTCCTAATGTCTGTTTTATGGGTAAAGTGACAAGGCTCTCTGTCCCCACCTCCTAGAGCCAAATGCTGCCTCCGGCCCTGAGTATCAGTGACCCAGGGGCCTGTCTCCCCGGGGCCCAGCAGGTGCCTTCAACCACCCCCATCCACACCCAGGGGGACAGGCCCAGAGGGAGACAGGCCCAGAGGGGTGCAGCGAGCACCCAGGTCGCCTTGCTGGTTAAGTGTGTGTCTGGACTCTGAGATCAGGGAGGTCTGAGCTGGGATCCCAGCTTCATCACCCCCCGGGAAGATGCCCTCCAGCCAGGCAGGTGTGGCAGGGCCCTCCACAAGCCCTGCCCTGACATGTTTGTGTGATTTCCCTTCACACGTGAGCGGATGGCATAGGGGTGGCTGTGGATTGGGGCATGACACTGGCCATAGGGATGTGGCCCAGCAGCAGCCTCAGGGGTTCGGGGGGTGGGGGGAGAGCAAGCAATGACCCCTAGACCTGGCTTTGGGCTGGGCCCAGGGGACACCTCACCCAGGGGAGCAGATAGGATGGAGCCCAGCAAAGGTCAGGAGCCAGAGGCCATCCTATGTCCAGGCCTCTCCCAGGCTGGGGAGACTTCCGGGTGCCTGCACCCCTCCTCGGGCTGTGATGCCCGCTGTCCTGGCCTCATTTTCGACTCCAGTGGGAAGAGCCCCTCCCCACCAAGGCAGCTGGCAATGATAGGCTTGTTGTTTTTACTTCTATAATAAACCTAAATGTGAATACAGAAAAGACACACACCCCCTTTAGGTTTGGACATTTTAACTCTACAATTTTATCAGTTGGATGTAGCCACTTTCCCTGGATAGATACCCCAACCCAGGTGTCAGCCATCAGGCTGCCTGCCCGGTTGCCCGGCCCAAAGCACGGCCACACACGGTTCCAGGCAGGGCTGTGCTCACACTTCTGGGCTCCTCTGGTCCTACCTAGGCTGGACGCCCAGGGCCGCACTCACTGTCCCAAGGTCCCAGCCCTGCGTCACTCCCCAGAGCACCAAGGTCTTCAGGTGTGAATGGGAACTCAGCCAGCAAGGGGTCCCTTGGCCCACCTCCCCCTCTGCCCCAGCCCCAGGCCCAAACACCTTCTCTGGGGGGCATCAGGTCAAGGGCACACTGGAGTGTCCCTTGATGCTATTGATTCCATCCTGATATCACCCCTGGAGGCCAAGGGGCCCACACCGCGGAGCCACACATCATCCTAGGCCATGGGACACAGCAGAGTCCCAGTTCTCACCGAATTCACATGCCTCAGGTCAGAAGGAAGGAGGGGCCGGCGGGGTGGGGAGGTGAGGAGGAAAGGCCCCATCCCATCAGGCCTGGGAGCCCAAAATTAGGAGGCGGTTTCTTATTTTAAGGCCAGAGGAAAGTTTTGAGGAAGGGGTGATGTGCTCTGACTTACATTTAGGTTCTTGAAGGAGCAGAGTTGGCCCTCCGGGAGCAGGGCAAGGCATGGGTGGGGAGAGGCTGGGCTGCCCCAGGGTGGTCTCTGAGCAGGAGATGGCGGCTCTGGGAGACACAGGAGCAGAGAGGAGCTCAGCTGTGAGCTGGGTCCTTATCCAGGTTGGATATGCAGGAAAAAAAAAAAAAAAAAAACTTTTTCCTCTGTGAACTTCTACAAAAGTAGGTGCCCAGACCTGCTGCACCCCCATCGCCTGAGGCCCAGGGGCAGGCCTGGAGGATAGGGGCAGGACGGAACACAGACCCAGACCCACATCCGAGGGTCTTCCCGGCTTCCTCAGGCTTGGGAAGGTGCCGAAGCCCAGAAGAGAGAAGAAAAAGGTTCAACAGGGCCAGGAGAGCTGGCTCTAGGAGCAACTGGGCAGGCTCATGGGAAACCAGGAACAGGTCTACTCCGACAACCACGACAACCACGGGCCAGAAGGGGGCACGCAGGAGGGGGTGGGTACTTTAAAGGTAAAGAAGTGCAGGAAGGGGACCCCGCCAGGAAGCCAGGGCTGCCGGGAACCTGTGGATTGCCTGCCTCCCCCTCCCCTGGCTTCACTCTGGTCTTTCCAGGCTGTCAGCTTTCTGTCTGCATGGCGGAAGGCGTCCCCAGCTCAGGTCCCAAGGTCTACACACGTTGATCACTCGGGTCAAGGCCAGCACGTCAGGGACTCCAGTGCAGAATCCTGGGTGGGGCCCTGGCTCATGGGGGTCCCCACCTGGGTCAGTGAGATTCTCTCCAGTCAGCTGGGGCTGAGCTCAGCCCCCTCGTCGAAACAGGGTAGCTGTCTCGGTGCGGAGGCTGACTGAGGGGCAGACAGGCCAGCAAAGCAAACATGACCAGCTGACCATTCTCAGCTCTCCCTGCACGACGAACAGGACCCTCCCCTCTTCGGTCAGCCTCCCCTCTGTGTGGCCCTTTTCATGATGCCATGGTCAAAAACGACACAGGAAGATGTCCCTCATCTGTACCGGGCTTGGGGTGTTGGCAGGGGTCCGGGGATCACCTGGCCCCTCTGCACCCCACCCTGGCAGTGAAGCAGGGAGCATGGGTTGGACTTGATCAACACCCTGGAACCTGGAGTGAGTGTCAGGGGCAGAGCCGGGCGCAGAGATGGGCCCCAGTGCTTGCCCACCGCACACAGGCTACATGGGCTCAGGCAATGCTGGGGTGCATGGGCAGCCTCACTGTGAGGGTGGGGTGCAGAGCAGTAGGTGATCCCCTGCACGCCCCACCCCAGTCCAGATGAGCAATGTTTTCCTGCATCATTTTTGGCAGTGACATTATGAAGAGGGCTCACGGTTTCCATGACCCTGCACTAAATTGTCTCCAGTTACTTCCATTAAAGGCCGATGGCTTCTGCGCCAGGTGCAGGAGGCCCAGAGCCAAGGGCTGGTGAGGCACTTGAAAAGGTTTTCATTTTAGTGTCTCTTTAAATAAAAAAATGTAATATGATGATAATAAATATGTATAATAATGGATCCAGCCTGAATTCAACAATGCAGTCATGAAATATATATTTTTTAAATTTATGGAAGAAGACATCCACCCTCCA